ACCATTCCCTCCCCCCCACCCCCAATTAAAACAACAAAAAACGAATTGCAGATTTAGGGAAGCATGGTTTTTAAAATTTGATGTTGGCTATTTTGTGATCTAGAAGAGGAAGGTGTTGTGTCTTGGGGATTAACTATTTCTTACAGCCTGGACCAGTTTGGTATTTTGAATGAAAGTAAAAAGCTGAAGGAAAAGTCCTTTGGAATGATGCATGATTCTTGAATTGCTGCGGGATGATCCTCAGCTGTAGAACCACAGAGTCTTGTGCATGCTGGTTGTATATTCTAGACGGATTTAGATATTCTTGGTTAAAAGTCAGATAGTAGGACTTGGGGAAAAGAGAGATCTGGGCATTGTGTATCCAGGCATTTTTCTGTCAAAAGTAGATTTTTTTTTTTTTTTCTTTCTCTCTTGGAAGTGTGTTCAGGGGATGGGATTCCTGGGAATTACGGACCAGCCTTGAGTCCTCAGAATTAATAATCAGAAGACTTAAAACATCCTGGAGGTGCAGCAGTTCATCTACAACTTTTAATTGCTCTTTTTCAAAAGTGCATGCAGGTTAAGAGCTAAGCATAGGTTTTCTTGCTCAGGCATTGGGGGAGAAATCTTTTATTCTTTCTGGGACCGGATGGGATGGTCTTGGTTGTATTTGCAGGCGCTGTTATTTCTTGAATTATCTGAAATGTATCAGTTTGTGAAATCCAGAGGCAAGTGACTTAGGGTAAATGTGAGTGCAAGAAGTGGTGGTGGTAACATTATAATGTATACAACTAGTTGATGGTGAATTTTCCTGTTGGGATGAGAGACTGTTGTTTGATTTTCAGCTAGTATTACCTTTTCCTTGTGTGGGGCCCCCAGCCTCCCCTGCAGACCTTAAAAGGAAAAAAAAAAAAGTAATGTCAGTTTAAAACAAATGCTTGTTTTTCATTGTTTTTGATTTAAATAGTCCCGGGTTGCTGGAAGCTCACAGATAGGGAAGGAAAGATGCTGTATATTTCCTAAGACTTTAATGTGTTAATGACAAGAGTTCACAGTCTTTTCTCCAGATGCAGCTGCCTTTTCTTTTTAACAGTTATTGTTATTTGTTGTTGTTTTTTCTCCAAATGACTGCTGAATAGTTCTTAACCTAATTTGACCAAGATCTGTGGGGCATTCACACAGGTACAAATCTTTTCTCACCACCACTTTTGATGTAATATAAATAGTTTTTCCCCCTAATAACATACTAATACTTAAAAGTAAACCAAAAAAAAAAAAACAACAACCAAAAAAACCCTGAGTTCAGTGGTATAGAAAAAAGGAAGTCCCTTTAGATGTGGCTATGTAAAATGACTAATTTTGCATTCTGGTCTTTGCTTTTGTAAATGAATTTTTTTCCCTTTTAATGCATAGACACTGCAATTTCCTTTGGCCAAATACAAGTTATTGTGTGTGTGTGTGTGTGTGTGTGTGCACGCATGTGTGCATGCATGGGTTCCCTTGGAAAGGATGGCTTTGTGATCTGTGAAAAAGATGGTTTTCTGAAATTATTGTGCTTGAAATCCTTGCTCTAAAGCTGGTGGTGCTATTGCGAAAGTTAGGTGATTATGGTGCCCACTTGTAATAGTTGGAAAGATAAAACAGCTTAACTCCCCCCTTCTTTTCTGCTCCAGAATTGATTATCTTAAACTCAGCAGCAAATAGCCCCCACATCACTAGTTTGCATTTTCCTAGCCTCTCTGCAGCATTTCTGCCTGAAGTATTCAACTCCTCTAGGCTGTTACAAGCCAAATCATTGTTCTCTTGAATACAGCTCTCCTCCATGGTCAATATACCTTTGACTGTTTTCATCCCTGCAGAAATCCTTCAAGTGGGTTTTTGGGGCTCTATTTTGCATAATTGTTTCTTTCACAACCGGACATTTTGGTTGAATCCCAGATTAGCATTTTCCTCCATCCCTCTAAATAGGGGATTGGTTTCAAGAAGTTTAGGATTTCACATACTTCATGCTAGAGGGGGAAAGAATTCTAGTTGGTAGAAAGATCAAGGTGGCTATTTGTTCTTTTGAAGTGGACCATCTACCAGGCTCTGAAGGCTGCACGGGGCTTTTTGTTAAAATTTATTTCCCATCACCCCAAACAAGAAACCACCACCAGTGTCTATTTGGACAACCTGTGTATGCGGCAGGCAGGGTGTGTTTCTGAGTTGAGAATGTGTGCCTCTTAAATTGGAGTAGAAAGTGTTAGTGCTAAAATCACCTTCCACCATCACCATTGTATTATTGCATGTTAGCGATGTGTTTAAATTTAAAAGGCTGCTGTCTTCTGATGAAAACCATTTGTGACAACCTGTCAGTTGTTTCTTTGGTGATTTGTGTCAGAGCCTTTCTCTACAGATGCAGTGCAAATGAAATTGTTAATGGGGTTCAGTATCAGAGAGCGAAAGGTGTTAATATTCTGATTTAAAACCAAACTACCTTTCTTCTCTGCTGGGACTAGTTAAGTTTGAGGCCTCTAAGTTCTTTCTAGTTTAATTCTGAGCTATCATCTCTTCCTTTCTATCTAGTTCCTATTCTCATGAACCCTCTTCCCCCAACAAATGTGGAACTCCCCTGAACATATCTCCATGTGACCAGGCATTTTTGGACTCATCTTTTGTCATAGACAGTCCCAGAGCATGGAATACAGAAGGGACATTTAAAAAAAAATCTTTATTGATTTCAGAGAGAGAGAGAGAGAGAGAAACATCAATGATGAGAGTTACTGATTGCCTCCTGTATGCCCCCTACTGGAGATAGAACCTGCAACCCAGGCATGTGCCCTGACGGGGAATGGATCTCTTGGATCCTAGGATCATAGATTGATGCTCAACTGGTGAGCCACGCTGGCCGGGCAGAAGGGAATCGAACCGTGATCTGGTTTCATGGGTCAACGCTCTACCACTGAGGCACGCTGGCCAGGTTTTTTAGTTTTCTTTTTGTTAATTCTCACTGGAGGATATTTTTTCCATTAATTTTTAGATAGAGGAGACGGGGGAGGAGAACAGAGAGAAATATTGATGTGAAACATGTTGATTGGTTGCCTCCCACTCATGCCCTGTGTGGGGCCAGGGATTGAACCTGCAACCCAGGTTTGTGCCCACCCTTGACTGGGAGTTGAACCCGAGACCCTTAGGTGTGTGGACCAATGCTGTAACCACTGAGCACAGCAGTCGGGGCTGTTAAGCTTCTTACTATTTCACTGTCGGGAAAGTTCAGTACCTTACAACTGGCACCTATTGAAGCACACCTTGACTGGCTTGGCTTAGGTGTGTGTGTGTGTGGCATATGAAATGGCCTGCACTCTATTCAACAGGGAGTTCCAAAAGAGGAAGGGAGAGAAGATTCTGGTGGACCTTTCCAGCTTTCCTGCTTCTCTCCCCAACCCCCAACTCTCAGCCTCTCTTTCAAAGACTCCTTCCTCATTCTACTTTTGTGGTGGGGATAATTAGTCACAGCTCAAAAGAGTGCCGAATGCTTTCTCCGTCATTCCTGCCACCCAGAGGAAACATCCTGGGGGTGGGAGTGTGGAGACCCCAATCCTAGTTCCTGGGATAAATGCCGGTGGCTTGAATGTTTTGAGACCAGGCCTTTTGCTACTAGCCTGGGCAAACTTTTCTACTTTGAAATTCTGTACATTTTTTTCCTGTTCTTGCCTCATCTCGAAATTGTAAGATGTAGCAGGGAGGTCTGACAAATGCCGTTTGCCTTACAGAATTAAGACATCAAAACTCTGCCTACCCTGCAAACCACCTCCTACCTGAAGCCGGTGTTAACAATGAGAAACTTGTTTACTCCAAGGCTGGGTTCTCATTGGCCCATGGGGGCAGATTGTAATTGTGTGTCTAAAAAAAATGCTTTTTTGCATCCCCCACTTGCCGGATAACTGGAATAGTAATTTGCTTTAAAAAAAGAACAACCTGGTGTTTTAAAAATACTCCTTTAGGAGGATTAACACTTTGTTTGCAATCAAATGTAGGTTTCTTCCCCCCATCCCTACATAAGGATGGGGGGAATGTCTTAAAGTTGGGTTTGTTGTTAGGACTTCTAAATAACTACCCCCATGGGGCAAGTTCTCAGTCTACCTAAACCTGAACATAATTTGCTCTGTTTCAGCTTGGCTGAGGAGGAGATCAAAACAGAACAGGAGGTGGGAGAGGGCATGGATATCTCTACTCGCTCCAAAGGTGAGTAAAAATCTTGTATTATCTATTCCATCCAGAGCAGAGGAGGAAATTGGATTTCTTTTTCTTGTCGTGGGGCAGTGAAGTGTGGCTCTGTGAGCCGAGGTTGTAACACTCCTCCGATTTTTGAGATGTGGGACCTTAGATAGATGAACCTCATTTATGGAGAAATCTCCCTTTGCTTTTCTTTCCCGTGCATGCCTGTGCAGGTATCCCAACTTGTCTGGGATTGTCTATGACCTCAAATTTTATATCTTTACTGAAGGTGGCTGGCTGGCTGCCTCTCTGCAGGGTGACTTTCAGGAATCAGAATTTAAATGAAGTATGTTCTGGAAGCAGCCCATCTCCAGCTGCTGCTCGATTTCTGATTTTAATAAACGGCCTGTTTGGAATCACAGAAGTGGAAGAAACTGTAGAACTTTCTGGAATGCTGGGGCTAGTATTTGCATTTAGGACAAAATTGAGAAAGTTAGAGGGAACATAGTTGGTGTTTTCTAATACTGAAACCTGTTTTAGACGCCTCAAACTTCCAATTGAGGGATTGGTACTTTTCCTTTGGTGTGTGTGAGGTTTTATGAGGCTTCCCCAAAAGGGAAGCAGTTACTCACTTTTGCCTCCAGGGTGCATTTAAAAATGAGCTACTGGAGTATTTGTCATGTCTTTGGTTGATGAAAATGCTCGTCTCTAAACTTAATGGTTGTACCACTGTGTTATTCCTTCGATGAGGCGTTGAGTGCCTGCTCTGAGCACACAGCCCAGTGCTCTGGGGTATGGGGAAGGCGGAAAGGGCTGTGGAGAGGGTTGTTAACAGACTCACCCAGAAAGATTCCCATCTAGCTAGTTAGAGAGCTGCACAAAAAGTGGCTTCTTACGGGCGTCTGGAATAGCAAAGCTTTTTGAGGATTTTTATAAACTTGTCATTTTGGGCAAAGATAGGGGTCAGATAGTCGTGACTGTGACCTGGGAAGTGGGAGCTGGCTGTTGCTGGGGCTGGCCTGACAGATGGGGGATTGGCATGGTTCAGAGAGGAGGCAGGAGGCACAGGCTGCTCATGTGGGTGGTCTGTGTCTAGGGGGTGGGGAAGGAAGAGAGCCACAGGGAGACAAGGAAAGGTTGGGAGGTTGGGCGCAGTCCATGGGCCCATCATCCTTCATTACAACCCCCATCTAGCCCCATCTAGGGGGGTGGTCATCAGCAGGGGAGTTTTGAGCAAGGAAAGAACCTTCCTGAAGGGTATTTTTGCGACAACTGATGAGGGGAGTGTGTGCCTCCCCCCCTTGTTGTGGTCAGAATGTGGAGGGAGAACCCAGAGAAAGGAAGCTGGGAGATGGGGGTCTCTTGTTCTGTTTCCCATGGGGCTTAGACATCTTCTGTCTCTGTGCCTCCCTTTTCTTATCTGTAAAACGGGGTGTTAAGTTGGATTCTAAAATTCCTCCCACTTTGGGCTTCTCTTGTAGAAAGAATACTTAGTATTTATGAAACTGTACTTGGACCAGGAGCTTTCTCTTACAGAATTCTTCCAATCCCTGTATGAGGGAGGTGTTGTTCCCATTTTGCAGATGAGGAAACTGAGGCTCCAAATGGTAATGTCTCACAGGTAATAAGTGGCAGAACTGAGCAAGGCTCTGCCTTCAAGGAGGTGCGTCCTTCTTGGACCCCTCTGTGAAGACTTATCCAAGAGAGTCAAAGCCAGGGATTGTCACCTGGGGTGGGAGGCGTGCTCTGATCAGGACAATCCGCCCCCTTCCCCGAGCGTGTGGAGCACCCTGTTCTCTTCTTTCATCTCTCTAGATACTCCTAGCTCTTCACCAGGTGGCATCTTCCTGACTGTTACCTGAAGCATGACCATTCTTGGGTGACCATTGTCCCTCTTGTCTGCCCCACTCCAATCCTCTTCCTATAGCAGCTAGGGAGATCTAAAAAGCATAGATGAGATCTGTTACATCTTGCTAACTGCTTCCACTGACCTCCAGTGCCCTGAGGCTCAAGTCTGAGGTTACTATGTCCTACCTAGCTGGGCTGACTTGTTTACCTGTGACATTCTGTTTGCCTCCTACTCTTGCTCTCCCTGACTCCACTTGAGCTGCCTGGCCTCTTTCCCTTCTTTCTTGCTCCTTAGGGCCATGTGTATTCCGCGCCCTTTGCTGGGAACATGGCGCCCTGGGTCCTGCTGCCTATTTCTCATCTCTCAGATTCATCTCAAACGTCATCTCCTTTAGTGGCCACTCAGTCCAAAGGAACCATTTCATCCTTTTTTGTTATTTTTAATAATAAACTTCTAATTTTAGATTTCCAGATAAGTTGTGAAGATAGTGCAGAATATTCTCATATCACCCCTCACACATATACACACAGTTTTCCTCCTATTATTAACTTCATGCATTAGTATGGTTCATTTGTCACAATTAATGAATCGATATTGGTATGTTATTACCAACTAAAGTCCATGCTTTGTTTAGTTTTCCTTAGTTTTTTACACTAAGGTCCCTTTTCTGTTCCAGGATTCCACCCAGGAAACCACATTAATATTTAGTTACATCTTCTTCAACTTGTTTTGGCTCTGACAAATTTCTCAGACTTTGTTTTCAATGACCTTGATAGTTTTGAGGAGTAATCATCAGGTATAGGGTGTCTCTCAACTGGGATTTATCTGATGTTTTTCTCATGATTGGACTGGGGTAGACTGGAATAATGGATTTTGGGGAGGAAGACCACAGAGTAAAGTGCTGTTTCATCACATCATATCAAGGGTACATATTATAACCTGGTGATATTGACCTTGACCACTTGGCTCAGGTAGCATTTGTCAATTTTTTCCCCTTCCATATGTACTCTTTAGAAGGAAGTCACAAAGCCCAGCTCACATGGAGTGGGGAGTTAGATTCCTCTTCCTTAAGGTCAGAATATTTATTATTTGGAATTCTTCTGTATGGGAGATTTTTCTCCCCCCCATTTATTTATTCATTCATTTATTTATATCATCATGGACTCAGTTATTTTCTACTTTGGGTTGTATAGTCCAATACTACTTGTTTACTTTATCGCTCAAATTACTTCATCTTTGGCCATTGGGAGCATTTCAGTATCCCTTTGACGCCACTGGGTGGTTGATTGACTGATTGAATACTTTCTTACTTTATGCCACTAAAAGGTGCTCTAGGTTCATCTTGTGTATTTTGTGTCACAGCCCTAGAATTAGATGTTTCCCCAAGGAATCCTACTTTTGTTTATTGGAGAACAGCATTAGAAACCAAGATCTGAGTGCTCAAGTGTGCTCCTTGCTACTGATGCGTCTTTGCTCCTAAGTCTTCTCGGAAGACAGCAAGGAAACGTGTTACTAACCCATCTGTATACACATATCTATAGATGTTTCTATCTTTATATCAAATTAAATGAGTTCATACACTTGTCTCCAGTTCTGATCCATTACCGCATGAATCATTCCAGCCTTCTCCCCTTACTTATCTGTAGCCTCCCACCATCTGCCATTTGTTTACTATTTTCTGGTACATTTTAAATCTTTGGTGTACAGCTTGATGAACTTCTAACACCTGTGCACTCATGGGACCACAACCCAGAGCAAGATAATTGAACATTTGTGGAGTTCCAGAACGTTCCTCAAAATCACTCCTGATTTTCTTCATATCCCTTGTCCATGACCTTGTAATTCTAATTTATTTGTTTGTTGATGGTCTTCTCTGCTAGGATGTAGGCTCCTTTTCTCCCTAGGTCCTATGCCCCCTTGCCCAACCCCTCCCTTCCATTTGAGATGCAGGATGGCATAAAGATTTAGAAAATCCTGGCTTTTAGAGCCAAGCTCCTCCGTTCATATTCTGGCTTATGCCTTGCCTAGCTGGGTTATTCATTGTGACTCAGTTTCCCCTTGTACATGGGGATGGTGAAAATAGAGGGTTTTGGTGAAGATTAAATTTGCTCACACATATATAGAGTGCTCAGAATGGTGCCTGGGACATAGTATGTGCTCAGAAATGTTAGCCATGATTAGAACTGGCATGAACTGGGATGAGCTTGTATTGGTAAGCATGTCAGGTAGAGGTCCTACTTATCACATTCTACTACTGCCCCCACTTATAACCTCTAGGAAGTGCGCTTAGAGGTAGATACGGAAGCTATGCCCAGGTAATGGAGAATTGTACAGGGTGAGCTGGCAGGCAGGCTCGGACAGGATTCTTGTCCTGTTGGCCTCTGAGGTATTTGAAGAAAGCTGGACTGATTTTCCCAGGGCGTTTGGGGCCCCTGTTCTAGTGGGTAGTCTGTGAACAGGGGAAGGGGTCACCTGGTTTCCAGGGAGACCTTTTCCCCCAGGGGCTGCCTCAGATGGCTTTCTTTGTGTAGAACTGAGCTCCTGTCATCCAGGGGCTGCCTCTGTGTCTAGGGAACCTTTCTGACAGCCTCTTGGGTCAGGCAAGGAAATTGCAAACACACAGGCCTGGAGTTATGAGACTGGGTTGCTGGGATGGTCAAAATGTGAGGTTTGCAGAGGCTGATGGGATGAAGTCTTATCTCTCAGTCCTAATTATCCCCAAATCCGAGGTGGGATCTGGGCTCAGTAAATACACACTTAATCCTCCAGCCTGTTTTTCTCATGGTTTGGGAAATTCACTGATTCAGTCTCGGCGTGACGTCATCCCTGTCAGGGTTTCTTCGGTTGTAAGCAGCGGAAGCCCCTGGTTAACTGGAGAGAAAGGGGATGGACAGGAAGGTGGTCAGTAGGCTCATGGGAAGGCTGGAGGTCTGGGACTGCTCTGGGGAGTGAAACTGTGTACAGCTGCCTCAGGAGTGACAGGGCAGAGTCCTCAGGGAGAGCCTCACCCAGTGTCATGTGCCTGCACTTTGGCCAGGGAAGGGCTGGTGTCTGGACACCAAGACCCGCCAGCACAGCCCACATCCGGGAAGAGATAAATCCCTAAGAGAAGATGAAGTGACTACTCAGGCATCTTGGGAAACTGGCAGCAGTATTCCCATCTTGTAGGTAGAGAACA